AAGAGATTTCAAAATAATAGCAAATTTACTGCGAATAAATAATAATTATTTATGGAAAATTATATTTATTTGAGTAAATATATATTTGAAGTGTATTGAATACCAAAGCATTCGATAGTCTTCAAACGATAAAATTGAAACAAAAACTTACAAAGTAAGCCATTCCTCTTCATTGACAGTCGTTGATAATTCACAATAATCAATGTCCTTGGGGTCAAGTTTTTTATCATACAATGAAAGCCATGGAATAAGTTCTTTTTGCTTTTCCTTCGAAAGATCAAGAATAATATCAACTAAACGTAACAAAGAGGCATTGTCCAAATAATATGGAGGAAGTAAGAGGTTTTTAATTCGTACTTTGTCTATAGGAATCCCAAAAACAAAGCTTCCTCTTCGTGCAATTCCTTCCAGTTGTTTTCTGTGTGGAACCTGCCGATTACGCAACCAGTGATTATTTGAAGCGATAATGATCAAATAAAAATCCATATTTTTTATGTAAAGAAAATCAGGAAGCCCGAAAATGGAGTCATTAAAGCCAATTGTATTTTTACTATCACCATAATCGAACAAAATTTCCTTCCGATGAGGATTGTGAAAAAGAATTCTTCCTGATGTCATATTTTTTTCATTGATATACTTTGCTTGGAATAAACTAGTCAAAAAACGGCTTAATGAAGCACGATAACCGCTAACAGGATTAAATCCAAGAAAATCATAAATTATGTCAAAATGAGGAAAACGAGTCATAATATATTGTAGTAACTCTGTAAACGGATTACCCTCATCTACGTATAGTTCACCAGTGGCATTTTTTTCAGTAATAAGATTGGAGAATGCCTTTTCAAATGTACCAAGCATCCCAAGTCCATAGACACAACAAAGCCGCTCCAAAAGTCGATGGTCAGATGAACCATATACCTCAAGTCGTAAAAAGGCATCACGAAGATCCTTGGCCTTGTTTAACTCACCCATCCAGCGAAGTTTCGCAGCTTCTTCATGCAACCAAGCACGATTTTTTTGTTGAACTAAATTTGGGGAAATTCCTGTTAAAGAAGAAACGAGTTTAATATCATTTTCGACTGCTTCATTCTGTTTCATTTGCTCGATACATAAACTTTTTAGGATATCTAATTGCAAGAATAGTTGCCTTTTTTGTTCACCATCGATTAGCAATGGAACCCGAAAATTCCACTTATTAAGTCGCCATTTGGACATTTGCAACTCTGTCAATTTTAGAAGCGTCTGCTGGTCCCTAATCTCTTTGTTTGGATTTCCAAAACGTACTTGCATTTGCTTATGCGTAAGCGGTGTTATTCCATATGTTGAATGAAACCGTGTATTATTTTGACACACAATCCGTGAAACCCCTAAGCGTTTCATTAAAATTTAGGCATAGCATATTATAATGACTTATACAATCCTATACATTTTGTAGTCGAGAGAAAAATGTAGAAGCAAAAAAGTTTGATAATTAATTCACTATTATTCTTAATATTATTTAAAGATTATTTAATTTAGAAAAAAAAGTGCTGCAATAAAATATCAATAGGGACTAAAAAAATAATAATAATATATATAGCAAAAAATAGATATTAAGACATTTTTATTTTCGTATAAATACTAAAAGCAAAAAAAAAAATTCTCCTAAATATTAATTTACTTTCTAAATACTATTCGGAGTTACAGGAAAAAGGCCCTACCCTGGAAATATAATTTACTATACTACCTTCAGAATGATTCCTTCGAGTGGATATGACGAAGCCACTCTGCATCAAGAGAGCTGCCTCCCCATTCGATATAGTTATTATCCATCGGGAAGTGCATAGTATGATCTAAAAATGGCTTCTCACCATATTCACCATAAACGTTAGAGGCGATCCATTTGGGTATGCCGAAAGGAAAAATAAAATAACAGGGGAAAAACCACATAAGAAAGCGACGAGTCATTTCCCAAAATGTTTCATAGCGTCGAGTTTCAGTGTCCATCCATAACTCCTGCCGACCAAACCCCCAAAACATCCAAAAATTAAGTTGAAACTGGGGAAACACGGACGTATTCGGAGCTTCTCTAGGATAATTAAAGGGATATTTGGCCTCATTGTGCATTTCGAATTCTTGATACCTATATAGGTGTCCTACAGTGCGTTTAAGCATTTTTCTACTTTTCTGTTAAAAGATAGAAAATAAAATTGATAAAAAAAGCTTGGAACAAATATAGCATACAAACATCAAAGAATTATAAATAATAAATAAATGAGAAAAGGATCGTTAAGGAAACAAAAACTTAAAGCACCCTAATTTTTTTCAAAACATAATGATTCTATTTCGTCCCTAAACTCATCTTTACCCTCACCAATCCTCGTCGTCAGCGTCAAAAATACCTTCACCAAGCTTCCACCACGCTAAAGTATAAAACATATGTAAATCATGATGTTTATTCCCCTCATCAAGGTCACTCCAATTGTCACCAACAACAGGCCAATGATACATTGAACGGTATGATGAAAAATACCAAGGGATGTTTTTGTCTAACTTTTTTACAAAGCCAGGTTCCTTCATCCCATGAGGAAACTCACCTCGAGTAGTTAGCTCAAGTTTCGCATATTTCATCGATAATCTAAATGTATGGCGAAGCATAATAATAAATATATATATATAGAGAGATTTGTGTTCCTTAATATAGGTGTTTAAGAGAAAATGGTTTAGAGTATAAAATACAATTAAAGTCTTAAAGGAAAATAAAACCAAAGCTGTAAAAAAAATGTTAACATAAATTTATTATTACAAATAAATTCTTAGCAATAGACAGTAAATATTAAGGATGATGTAAGTTAATAAATTAAAAAATGAGGAGAAACAGAATGAAGAAAATCCTTAAAATACCAGAAATGCCAAACTAAACTAGAATTTCTTTTTATCTATTAAATTACTTGCCAGATTAATTTTAAAAAAATTACGAGGCAAAGATCCCATCAACACTAAAGAAAAAGGTTGGTCCTCAACAAATCCTTAAAAATATATTAAATACGCGCCGTTTTCGGCTAGAGCCATGGATAAAAATGTTCAAGGCCCCCACTATATGTATTATGATTTTTGACACCTACATTATAAACCAAAAAATGGAAACTAGTGATTAGATTTTTTTATTTCCAGAAGTGTAAGTTTCGAGAAGAAAAAGGAGGGGGGAATGAATAACAATGTCATTTAATACATCGTAAAATAAGTAGGTTGAGCCAGAAAATGCACCAGCTCTTATTACACGAATTCCATAATACTATAAAATTTTTAGAAAACATACGGAAAAATACAAAGTCATAACGCCAGGAAATGAAGATAAGTTAAGAAGATTCCATATGGACGGGAAAGGGGGGGGATTTAGAGCCATAAAAATTACGATGGTAATGTTGGATTTAAAAAAACTTAAAACTGAATGACAAAGTGAATCCTCAGATATGAATAGTGATGGTGTTTGAAAGAAGCCCAAATTATTGAAATTTTGCTGTTGAAACATAAATAAAATTTAATATATATTTTTTTAAAAAGCGTTATACTATAAGGAAATCCGGGGGAAACAATAAACGAAAAAAAAATCAACCCACAACACTGTTAAACAAATGGAGGAAGATCAAGAAGCAACAAGTATAAATCTTATAATTATTCGATTAATACCAACTTATGAATAAATATTAGGGAGGTGGTTGGAAGGATTGATTAACAACCTAACTTTATGACGAACAATAACTTAACCATAGAACCCCCCAATGGCCAAATTTGTTTACCGTTTATTCACCGAAAAGGCCGAGTTGTTATAATTACATTCATTTTGTTGAAAAAAAATCATATATGTGTGTATTTTATTTGACAAAAAACTCAGACACAGCATTTTCCAATAACCGATTCAACCATCAAACCGGCACCAAATGCACCAATTACAAAAAATTGATCTTTTTTCCTATTTTATCTTATAAAAATCAAAATCTAAAGAAATTCTTGGCATTTAAAAGAAAATTTAGTTTTCCGATTCCTATTTATCGAGGTTTTAATTCTTATATTGGGCATTTTAAGCTGTTAAATGATACATCTTTTTTCAAATTGGATAAAGGAATAGGGAAGCGAAATTCTGAATAGAATGTTTTAAAATGAAAAAAAAAATTTTGATATGGATTTCTGGGGGAGGGTTATAAATAATAAAAACTTTATTTAACGAAATTGTTTTAATAAACAAAGCCTCCCAATAACTTAATTGCAATGCGATAAATTAAACCCTTTTATTGAATAGATAAAAAATACTTATGCCTTAATTTGGAAAACAAACCATTTCACCCAAATCCAAAGCAAACACCCGTTAACCAAACACAAAGCTAAATAAAATTTTTCTATTTTTGATTGTTTTTATGCCATTTTAGTCTATTATTTGAAAATCATAATTCAATTGAAAAAATATCCTCACAAATACAAACCATCGTAAATTATTTCTTTGACTTCGCGATATTTTCTTTTCGCAAACCAATATTTGCCATGAATCGATTTTTTATACTGAAAATACCCCCTTGATGGAATAATTTAATAATTTTTTATATTATAATAAGTGCATTATTCTATGAAGAAAATTTAATCGTTTTGAGCGAAAGCGAGTTCAAAGAATTGTGGATATCACTATGTCTGACCTTCAAAAATGTGTCGGGGATTAAAAAAAATATATAATATTAATTTCCTAAAACTTTAGATGTGCCCATCAGGATTTTCGATTCGAAAAAATGGTTATTATGTTTCGGTGGATTAATTTATGGGTATTTCAACTTTAATTAAAAAAATCACCAACGAATAGTACAACAAGTTGTTTTGAAGATGTCTCAAGTTAAAAAAAAATTTTTTTTTATAAATATTTATCATTATAAACCCTAAAAATTTTCGGCCCCAACGCTAAAAAATGATGTTCCATTGATATAACCGGTTTTTGGAATATGGTTTGGGTTCTTATTTTATACGTTTTATCCTATTTACATTTAGAAAAACTTCTCTTCTTAGTATTTTATAAGAATTTTAATCGATATTTTTTAACTTGAATATTTAATTTATAATGGATCCGGGTTGATGTTGTGTTACTTTTTCGAGAATCACCCGTTTTAAATACATAAATCGCTTGAAAAATGTTGTAATGTTTTCCAAAATACTTTTGAATATACGTCCTCATCTCATTTTATACGTTTTATTGTTATTTAATTTTTTAGAACATGGACTTGTGTGAAAATGTTTCCCCGAACTCGATTTATTTTTTTAGGCCCCCAAGGGTAAAACTGACAAAGTTTAAAACCAAAGGCCAATTTGCTTATGGAAATTTGATATTATTGATATTAAACGGCGTTTTTAAGGATCAGATGCTCTTTTCTTTATATATATTTGGGTATTTTCCGAGTTTGGCCATACTTACGTTGATAAAAAATTCTATAACATTAACAAATTAAAAGCCAGTGCGTATGACTCAAATATTTGGTATTATGCTCATATTTAAATGCTTCTACGTCTGATTGAAATGTGGGGAAATAATAAGCATTGGCGTCTGTTTGTCGGGATGGACCTCGCTGCGGTATGTTCAAGGCTTTCCCCCCTCACCAAAAATTTTGAGAATATATGTGTGTGATTTGAAGGAGGGGGGGGGGTTCCTATAGAAGTTATATGGGGTGCCATCTGAATAGCTTATTTTGATAGATTTTAAATATGCATTATATTCTCTTGGCGGATAGTTTCTTCAGTATTTTAAAGTTCGTCGGTATGCTGACGCTTTGGTCTTTAATCCCCCTCCCCCTCCCCCTCCCCCCCTCCACTTGGTCACCTTTGCGCCGGGGGCGGGTATCACTAAATTAACGGGCTGGACCAGGCCATAAGGATTCGCTATATTTATTTAGTTATTTATCACTTGGAAGTTAATTGATTTGTTATATTATTAACTGTATATATATATATTTTTATCACCCATAACATTCTTAAGTGTAATTGGGGTGCGTTTCACTTGATCTAGTTATTTTAATTTTTTATTATATTTCTCTGATCAGTTAAAGCGTATGGAATGGTGAAGGATTCAATATAAATATAAATATAAAATTTTAATTAGATATTAACCCACTTACTTATTTGTTCAAGATTATATATTTACATTTTTGCGGCAGGATGGAAGTATCGCTTAAATATTAATCACCCCTCAATATATCGCGTGCGGACATGATTTCATGGTGTAGCTTCTTCTGTTTTATCACCTAGTAGGTATAAACCACAATGTGTTTTAATTGTAATTTGCCCATTTACTCAAAATGCAAATCAGATAAATCAATAAAGAAGATTATCTTACTATACATAGACTCATGCAATTCTTTATTTATGTTCATACTAAAAGTAAGTTGAAGAAGTAATTTTTCTGCTTTTCTATGTTCACCCCTTTTTATTATATATACATATTTGTTGTATTCCTTAGCTATTATGTTTGATTTTTTATCCTATTTATGAAACTACTAAGATGATTTAATCTAAATTTGTAGAGTTAAAGCTATCAATTTCTCACATTTTTCATCGATTTGAAGTAAGCTGATTATATACTTTGTATTAAATTTTCGTAAAAATATTTTTAAGAGTTTATCATATCTAGGGAGAGGTAGTGGTGTCAATGCATTTTTTATTTTGTATTTTAAAAGGATTAATAAATGCGTTTTTACAACTTCATTTATTTAGTTGGAAAAAATATATATCATAGATTTATCTTCGATGTTTGATCTTTTTTTTTAGATTTTTAAGCAACTATTTTGTATGTAGCTTTTACGTATACCGATTGTAATAGTGAGATCACAAGCTTTCATTATTTTCTGGCTATTCTAATGAGAATTCTAATCAAAAGCATGTTTTTTTACTGCCATGTTGCATACTTACATGATGCAGTGACTCGAAATTACTACATTATTTATGTACAATATATGGATGCTTCTAAAAACTTATGTTAAGCATGAATATTCATTTTATGGAATCATTATATATTAGCGATAAATCATGAGTTTTATACGCTTGGAAATTACTAATTAAAATTAAAATTGTTATGTATCTATAAAACTGAATTTTACTAAATACTGAAATTAAGAAATAATTAGAGTGTAGCTTAGTGATGTTATTTTGCTTTATATAATAATACTGATTTTGTTATTATTATATATCTTAAATTGTTATACCGGTTTAGATTTATTATTTGATAATCTAAAAGAAGGTTGACATGCACATTTTTTAAAAATTTACTACCTTAGCCTGTTAGCCTTGAAACAGTCGTTTGTGAAAAGTTGAAAAGCGTGCCCGACTGAAGGTCAAGGTAGATTTTTATTATTGATAATTTTACCAGTTAATGTATTCTTACGATTATTTTAAACTTGCTTCTCACTGCATTTATCGTTTTCCATATTAAAATTAGGTTTTATTATTGAAAACAGTATTCCCTTATTTGCTCTGATAATTGTTATATTTTTCTACTTGTATTTTTTAGACTTATGTAAATATAAACTTTCTCGAATGATATTTTTCATTTACTTCTAGTTTTTATATTTATATATCAAATTATCTATTTTATATTTTTATTATACTACAAATACATCGCTTACAAAAATTTATTTAATGGTATTAAATATTTTTTAATTGTCTTTTCTAAAATGAAAAACAACCTTTTTGTTTATTGGATAAGTCCCTTTTTATATATGATCACCACATATATATATATATATATGTTTTTTTACTTACATTTTGGAATCATCTTTATTATCGTGCTCATATCATATATATGGATTCCATTTAACATTTATACAAATATTATATCAATATTACCTGATAGAAAAATACATCTATACCTTTATATTTGTAAAAAACAAAGTGTTATATTCTTAAACTTTTATTGCTTTCCAACATTTTTTCTTCTATAAAATTCTATTTCATGTTCAGTTCATGTTACATTTTTTCTCAAAAAAAATGACCGATTTAATTCACCTAAAAGCATTTACGTTATCTCAAACTTACTTTACAGATCCAAAATCGTCTTCTGATGAAAAAGATAAACTTATTCTAACTGATGCAGTAGAGGGAAAAGTCGTTACACGCTTCCCGCCTGAAGCTAGCGGTTTCTTGCACATTGGGCATACGAAAGCTGCTCTCATTAACCGCATGCTTGCAGACAAATACAAGGGAAAAATGATTTTCCGCTTTGATGATACCAATCCTGCTAAGGAAAACGAAGACTATGAAGAAGCTATTAAGCAGGACTTAAAATCGTTGAGCATATCTTATGACAGTGGACCAACGTACTCTTCTGATTACATAGATTTAATGTGTGAAAAAGCTGTGGATCTTATTAAGAGAGGCTTGGCTTATTGTGATAAAACATCACGTGAGGAGATGCAAAAGTGTCGATTCGACGGAATTGCTACCGCGTTTCGTGGTAATTCAATTGAAGAAAATTTGAGGCTATGGAACGAAATGTGCCTTGCCACCGAAGAAGGACTTGAAACGTGTTTAAGAGCAAAAATTTCAGTTACAGATCCTAACAAGGCCATGCGTGACCCAGTCATGTTCCGCGTGAATTTAACACCTCATGTGCGTCAAGGTACCAACTACAAAGTTTATCCTACCTATGATTTCTGCTGCCCCATTATTGATTCCATTGAGGATGTAACTCATGCCCTTCGGACAAACGAATATCATGATCGTAATGCGCAATACTATTGGTTCTGCGATGTCATGAACTTACGTAAACCTATCATCGAGGACTTTTCGCGTCTGAACATGGAATACACAGTAATGTCTAAGCGTAAATTAACCCAATTGGTTAACAATGGCGTGGTTGATGGTTGGGATGATCCTCGGTTTCCTACACTTCGTGCTTTACTAAGGCGTGGTATGCAAGTTGAAGCGCTCCGCCGCTTCGTAGCCGACCAAGGGATGTCCAAAACCGTTAATTTCATGGAGTGGTCGAAGATTTGGTTCTATAACACTCAGATTATTGACCCTATCAGTCCTCGTTACACAGTTGTTTCGAATGATCTGAAGGTCCGTTGCGTTGTCCAAGACCAAAAACATATGGAGGAATGCAAGAAGCCTCTTCACAAGAAAAACTTAAATCTCGGTGAAAAGATCTTTTATAAATCGGACGTAATTTTCTTAGACGCAGAGGATGTTGCTCTTCTAAATGAGGGCGAAGAAATTACTCTCGTGGATTGGGGCAATGCATTCGTAAAGAGCATTAAAAGGTCATCTCTCAGTGATTTGGCGACAGAAGCTGCCATTTTGCTCAATCCATCGGGTGATGTGAAAACAACTAAGCATAAGTTGACATGGGTCCCCGAGAATCCGAGATCGGTTATTATCACCCTTAGGGAATATGATCATTTGCTTACAAAGAAAAAACCTGATCCAGAGGAAAAGTTCGAGGACCTTATTGCACCCGTCTCAATTTATACTCAGAATGTGCTCGGGGAGGAGTCACTTTCATCCCTTAAGAAAGGCGATGTCATTCAACTGGAGCGCCGTGGCTACTATATTGTTGATGATAACAATACAATCCCCAAAATTCTAATCAACATTCCTGAAGGTCGTGACAAGGTCAACCATTTGTCTGCCAAAGCGCAGTGCATGAAGACACTCCCCCGAAAAGCTACAGCAGCTGAAGAGTTAGCGGCCAAGAAGGCAGCCAAAGCTGCGAAAAAAGCGTCTCAAAGAGACTCTGCAAAGAAGTAAATTCGACTTTTCATTTTTGTTAAATGGAAGTATTTTGAAATTACCTTTTAATAAAATTTATTCAGAATAAACGTATTATTAATTTTATTCTTGAAGAACTGACACGTCTCATTTTTCATGATTTTAGATCTGAAGTCCTACCTTTTTCCTTTTTGTCAAGGTTGTGGATTTACTGTTTTTAACATTTTTGGCTTTACAACCATTGTTATTACTATTACCTTTATCTTTTTATATACCTTTTTATTTGTATAGAATGCAACGAAAGAAAAGCATATCATTCAATGATTTGGGGTTAACCACACCATTGCCAATCACTTTGGCAAAATCGAGGGAACAAAGACATTTAGAAAAACTTGAGGGCAAAAAACAAAAGAAACTGCTTGTAAAGGAAGCCACAGCATGCGTCTCTTCTTTACGAACTGATGTCGAAAAACATAAAGCTTTTATTTCGACAGAGTTTAAAAATGAGAAGGATGAAAAAGAAAAGCGGAAGAAGAAGCTTCAGGCTGAGCATATAAAGGCACGCAATGAAAGAGAAACCAAGAAGGAGCGGGATGCTCTATCTATTGAAGCACAACACAAATATATTTCCGAGATCATGGAAATGCAAAGGGAGGATAACACCAGAATGAGACAGGTGCAGCTGCTGCTCGAGAAAGCTCAGGAGAAATCTATCAAAGAAGCCATTGCTAATGTACATATTCCCGTTATTCGTAGTAAAATTATAGAAGAACAACGAGCAAGATTACCAGTACTACGTGAAGAACAACCCATTATTGAGGCTATTAACAATGCCACGAGGACATGTGTACTCATCTGTGGCGAAACTGGCAGCGGCAAAACCACCCAAATCCCTCAATTTTTATGGGAGACAGGCTATGGTCATGCAGAAAGTCAAGCATTCGGTCGTGAAGGATGCATTTTAGTCACCGAGCCCCGTCGTGTGGCGGCTGTATCTATGGCTCAACGCGTTGCTGAAGAACTCAATCAACCATTTGGCCAAGAGGTTTGTTATCATGTTCGCTATAACAACAACCTATCAGATACATGCAGGCTGAAGTTTGCGACTGAGGGTATCGTACTAAAAGAGATTCAATCTGACTTTTTGCTTACCCAATACAGCGTCATCGTAGTAGATGAGGCGCATGAGCGCAGTATTTCGTGTGATATCCTTGTTGGTCTTCTTTCGCGCATAGTTCCTCTCCGAAACGACTTGTTTCATGAGGAGTTGGAAGCAAACGGTAGGGATGCTAGTAAAACAAAGATCAAGCCACTAAGACTAGTCATTATGTCAGCTACCATGCGTGTGCAGGATTTCCGTGATAATAGGGTGTTGTTTCCTATTGTTCCGCCACTTATCAATGTGGAGGCTCGGCTCTTCCCAGTAACTAACCATTTTGCAAGGAAGACAATTTTGATAGATTATGTGCAGCAGTCCTTTGAGAAAGTTTGTCAAATTCATAAGAAATTACCGCCCGGGGGGATTCTCGTGTTTCTTTGTACGCAACACGAAATTGAAGACCTCTGTGCTTGTCTCCGTGAGCACTATGCAAAAACCAAGGTCGAATATAATGAACATACATACAACAAGCATGCATTTCTTAGAGGCACTTCAGGCGGTTTTCCTAAAATGCTTGAACAGGATGATGCATCCTCCAGCGCATCAGTGGATGGCACCATACCTGATGGCGATGTGACAAATGAGAAAACTCAAGATGAATACGGTTTGTTCATCGATGAATATGCGCTTGATGAAGACGAATCGACAGGAGGAGACACTCCTGGTGGGATTTCTGAAGCAACCATGAGCGAAAATAAATTTAAACGACCTCGGAAGGCTGGTACGACTTCGAACTTTAAAATTGAGGAGGAGGATGAACCCAATGGAAAATTCGACACATTACATGTTCTTCCGCTATACGCTCTTTTGGATCTAAAAAAGCAACATGAGGTTTTTAAGGCACCTCCGCCAGGTAAGCGTCTGTGTGTGGTTGCCACTAATGTAGCCGAAACCTCTATTACTATACCTAATATTAAGTACGTTGTTGATGCCGGCCGCGCCAAAACCAAGGTAATTGACGAAGAGACTAAGGCAAGCTGCTTTAGTATTGAATGGATAAGTCAAGCGTCAGCGGAGCAGCGAAGTGGCCGGGCAGGACGTGTGGGTCCTGGACACTGCTACCGTTTGTATAGCACTGCCGTTTACTCCAATTTGATGGCAAAGTACGGTACCCCGGAGATCCTGAGGACACCGCTGGACTCTGTTGTTCTTTTGATGAAGCATATCGGAATCGACCACGTGGGCGCCTTCGCGTTTCCTTCACCACCTCGCTTAGATGACCTCAAAGGTGCCTTGAGCCATCTAACACTCCTAGAGGCACTGGACGGATCTAATGGATACCGGATTACACCTCTCGGAAGGAAGTTAATCGCTTATCCCATTCCACCGCGTTTTGCCCGTGCTGTTGTAGAAGCCCAGTCCATGCAGCTCTCCCAAAAACTTTTAGGGATGGTTTTATTGATTGTGGCTGTGTGTGCTACAACAACGCATATTTTTACCGGTGAAGGCAACCAAATTAAAGCAAGTAAAAAAGATGAAGGCGATCCACGACGTGAAAGGATTCGTAGTTTGCTTAATCACGGAAGCGATCTTCTTACTTATCTGAACGCTTTCCATGTGTATATGCAGAACCCGAAAAATTGCCACACCTATTGTCTTGTTGACAAAAGTATGCATGAATCCAAGATGCTTTTCCGTCAGTTACGTAATCTTGTTGAGGAGAACAGCACCGCTGAGGGTGACCTCATGGATTCCTTGGACACTAATGAGACGTGGTATATAGGCAACACAGCCGGATGTACCACTGAACGTGTACAAATTACGAAAGACGATGAAATTGCTCTTCGACAGGTCTTTATTCCAGGTCTTTTGGACCAAGTGGCTCGACGAGCGACTGTACACGAATGTCGCTCAATGAATGTTGAATACACTGACAGGAAGACAAGTGCCACACCGTATTTAGTCACTAGTACACACTCTATTGTGTATATTAATCCCACTAGCAGTGTGTCGCGCACTTATCCCGCTCCTGAGTATGTGACCTACACCGCCTTGCAGAAAGTAGTTCGCTCCGAGACGAAAAAGGCGCAAGCATGTATGCTGGGTGTTACAGTTGTGACAAAAGAGTGGCTTAACTTGTATGACTACTCTGAGTAAGGTGGCTTATGCCTTTTTTTTGTCTAAATTCATCATGCTTTGTGTCATTTCTCCTTTTTGAGAGGTATGAAATTCGTAGTTCACAATAATGACTTTTTAAAATCCTTAATGGGTAT